AAGGACAACAGGGTGCAGGGGTTCCCCTCTGCACTCGCAGGGGAGAGAGCAAGAAGTCTGGTGTGTGGACAGGGAGGGACACACAGGCAGGAGAGGCCAGGCTGCACTCTAGCTTGTTGGGGTGAGGGTGGGGCAGCAGTGGGCTGACAGTGACCTGTCCCTCATCTCTGCTTTAGGGGAGCCCCTCCCCTAAAGCCCCTGGGGCCCCTGCAGAGCCATCACCTGGCCCAGGCCCTGTTCTGGAACTGCTGGCAGTGAGGAGGGGGCATCCGGCCTGAGCCCTCTGCTGGCATTGATTCCAGCTCCCTCCACCTCCCTCATGCCCCCAGGTCAGCCCCAAAGGCCTGGCGGCAGGCCCATCCACTTCCACAGGAAACATTAAATCCCTGAAACACTGAGCTCCACTTCCGAATGGCCCCCACAGCTGGCCGAGGTCGCCTGCAGGGGGGTTAGCCCCCAGAGACCATGAGCACCTGGGTGCCAGGTGGCTGAGGCCTTCAGGGCAGGGTCCGGGAGGCTCCTAGGAGAGCCAGCTCAGACAGGTCCCTGGGCTCACCCCCACACACTGTGAACACCCTGTGTGCACCCACCTCCCATCACACGGATGTACACATACCCGAACATGCCCACAGTCACACTGTTGTAATAACAGGATACACTCACATCACCTCCATTCTTGCCAAATACTGCCTTAAGCACATTACAAAGTTAACTCAATCCTTCCAACAGCCCAATGAGCTCTGAGGTGGGTGCTGTTATCCCATTTTCCAGATGAAGCAACTGAGACCCAGAGAGGTTAAATGATATGTGAGGGGTCATACATCTGTGGCTGCAGAGCCGGGATTTGAACTCAGGCTGCCCAGCTCCACAGCCCAGCCACAGCACCCCATTCGGAACACTCACTGCCCAGCACTGGGAGCTCTAGCCTGGAGGCCTGCTCTGGGCCCTGCCTTCTTGCTCCATCTCAGCCTCCCACTGGGCTACAGTTGCCTTCCTCCCTGCAGAGGAGAGGAGCAGGTGGGAGGGATCCAGGCCTGAGCCCTTCTCAGAGTTCCCCTAACCTCTCTGCCCACCCATCCCTGGGACTTTCTGGGAAATTGCCTGGTGCCAGCTCTGAGTAAAGTTGCAGAATGAGGTTTAATTGTGCCCCTAGGGCACAAGAGAAAACAGCAAAAGAAAGGGGCGTGAGCCAGCTGGCATCCCTGGAGCTGTGCTGAGACTCAGGTGATGAAGGAGAAGGGGGCCTTAGTTTGTCCATCTGTAAAATGGGGAATGATGGTCCTCTCTTGATGCCCGCCTGTGAGCACCAGGCAGCTGGTGCCTGAGGAGCTCCTGGTGGGGGCGATCAGAGCTGCCAAAGATGGGCCGTGTCCTCCCGGCCAGCACGCGGCGTTTTCCTCTGTGGGAAGGTCGCTGTCCCGGTATTCCAGATGAGACAGTGGACGCCAGAGAGGGGAAGGGGCAGGATCTTAGAGCCGATGAGGGGTGAGCCCGGGCTGGACCCAGGCCTGCCTGAGGCCGCGCCTCTCCTGCGGGTGCCCTGGCGAGGTTGGGCTGCTGGAGCGTTTCCTCCACGCCTCCCGCTGCGCCCGGGTTGTTTATCTGAGCCCGGGTCCCCAGAGTCGCTCGCGAGGCCCTGGAGCCGCCCTCGGATAAACAAGCCCAGGCGGGGCGGCAATTAAGCCGGATGCGCTAACGAGGCGGCTCATTAACCAGCAGGAGTTTGTGCGCCAGGAGACCCGGGCCCCGGCATCGGGCTCACCTGCCCGCGCGGCTGGAAGCCCCAGGCTTCAGCACCAGATCTGATCACCTTGTAACAAGGTGGCCTCTGTTTCCTCATCCGCAAAATGGGTCCTAGGCTTTGCCGCCGCCCCGTGGTGGGGCGCCGCCTGGGGAGGTGGGCCTTGGGATCGCACCGACGCTGAGGCCCGGGCGGAGGCAGGGACTGGTCGCAGGCCCTGCGGTACGCCCGGGACAAGGCTAGGGAGGGACGTCGGGGAGGAGGGTGAAGCTTCCCAGTCACCTCGGCTCGGGCGGCGGTTCCTGCGCCGGCGGACCCCGCCTCCCGGAGCCGCCCTGCCTGGGCCCTGGCTGCGCGGCCTGGAAGGGACAGGGTGGGCCGGGTGCGCCCCCTGCCGGCCTCCTTGCGCCACTTCCGCCAGGCCCAGGGCAGTCCCGCTGTGCGCCTCGGTTTCCCCAGATGTGAAACCCTTCGGGCGGGGTGGAGGCAGCGGCCGGAGGCCACGGGGTTGGGGCGCAGCGCCGCGTGGGTCCTCGCACCAACGTGGGGCTTCTCGGGACTAGGGGTGCTCAGCCCGGGGCCGCAGCCTTCTTTGCCAGGCCAGCTCAGTTCCGCCCGCCCTCCCTGCAGTGGACGGCTGCATTCACCGGGCCGCCGGCCCCCTGCTTACCGACGAGTGCCGGACCCTGCAGAGCTGTGAGACTGGCAAGGCCAAGATCACCGGCGGCTATCGGCTCCCGGCCAAGTGTGAGTCCCCAACAGGGCGCCCGTGTGTCACTGGGACATCAGGGGTGCGGCCCCCACAGGAGTGCTGGGGACCTACCTCCTCAGGGGGCCCTTCTTAACCTTAAGGGCCAAGACCCGGCCCCCACCCCGCACCCCCCAGGAAGCAGATGGGGGAGACCGTGCGTGGAGGCTGGGGAGGGAACCGGGGGGCAACGCCTTCGTGCCCACACTCGCGCTCGGGTCTCAGCCGTACCTATACAGATATGGGGAGGGGGCGCTGTGCGCGTGCGGATTCAGGCTCGAGGGGGACCACAGGGGTGGGGGCCTTCGCGGAGGAGGCTCAGCGCTTGGGGGGAAAGGTGTTTCCTGCCCCCTTCTGCCCAGGCCGGCAGGGGAAAGCGAGGGAGCTGAGGGTCGCGTACACCCCCGCCGGTCTGACCCCGTCGCCCCCCGTAGACGTCATCCACACGGTGGGACCCATCGCCTACGGAGAGCCCAGCGCCAGCCAGGCTGCCGAGCTCCGCAGCTGCTACCTGAGCAGCCTGGACCTGCTGCTGGAGCACCGCCTCCGCTCGGCGGTGAGGGGCGGCCCGCGGGGGAGGGCGGGAGGCGGGGCGCAGTGACAATGTTCCAACCCCCTCTCACCCCTCCCCGCCCAGGCGTTCCCCTGCATCTCCACCGGCGTGTTTGGTGAGTCTGGAAGAAGTGCAAGGGCCAGGAGTGGGAGGGGCCGGGGCGGACGGGGAGTGGGCGGGGCCTGGTGCAGGCAGGGGGCGGGGCCAGAGCCCGAGACTCACTGCCGCCATGCCCGCCTCAGGCTACCCCTGTGAGGCGGCGGCCGAGGTCGTGCTGGCAACCCTGCGAGAGTGGCTGGAGCAGCACAAGGACAAGGTGAGTCCTGGGCCCGGGCGAGGGTGGGGTCTGCATCCCGGCCAGAGTGACCAGCCCCCGTCATCGCCCAGGGCGTCAGGGTGCAGAGCGCAGGGCCAGGCCCGCCCTTTCCTTCCCTGTTTCTCCTCCGCGAGGGCGCCTGGCGGTGGCGAGATGGGGGTGATGGCACACAGCCCTGAGCCTCTGTGAAGGGCGTGGGGCCAGGCAGGTGAAAGCCTGCACCGGGGCGGGCAGTCACAGGATCCTGGGTCCAGGCGTGGCGGCCCGGCCCCGGCTGAGCAGCCCCTGGCGCAGGTGGACCGGCTGATCATCTGCGTGTTCCGCGAGAAGGACGAGGATATCTACCGGAGCCGGCTCCCCCACTACTTCCCCGTGGGTACGTGCCCCGCGCCGCCCCACGGCCCGCCCCTGCCCCGGTCCACCCTGGGGGCGGGCTCTCACTGTCCTCTGCCTTCCAGCCTGAGGCTCCCGCAGCCCACCCTGACCGGGACTGGTAAGCAGGGCCTCGCCCCGTGCGGCGGCCCCGGCCCTAGACTAACCTGCTCACTAACCCCCGCTCACCCCCAAGCAGGGCGGGAAACCACGGGGCAGCCTGGGAGGTCGGGGACGCCCACAGACACCTCTGACTCTGCTCTGCCCTCAGACCTGCCTTCGGGACCTCGCTCCCAGCTCTGAGAGGTCGCCAAAGCCTGCAGCCTGGCCTGGGCCCGGCCAGCCCTTCTTTCCCTCCGCGCCCAGCCCGAGGAGCCTAATAAAGATCACGCTGTGGCAGCTCCTACTGTCTGAGCTCTGACTGGGGGAAGGAGGCGGCCCAGGTGTTGGATGGAGCCCCTGGCCAGATGCTTTCGCTGAAAAGGGCTGGCAGGAGCTCTCGGTGAGCCAGGCGGGCGGAGGCACAGGCGGACGGCAGAGGCGGCAGCAGCAGTTCACATTTATTGAGGGCCTGCCCCCAAGGAGCTCACAGCCTGGGGGCTGAGACCCCGAATGTGCAGGGGGCGGGGAAGAAAAGAGGTGAAGGCAAAAAAGGCAGGCAATGCAGAGACACCATGGCCCAAGCAGAGGGGGTGCAAGGCAGGCACAGGCAGGGGGCCTAGGGGCGGATGGGGGAGTGGAGAACCGGCAGCCCTGCCTAGACCTGAGGACTGTGGACCCCACACGTTTGAAGGCTGCCCTCCTCCACCAGGCTGGCACTGCCGGGGCACCCTGTGGGAGGCCCAGCTCCTCCACCTGCCCTGAGCCAGGTCCAGCCTCACAAAGGCCCCTCCACCCAGGACTCCCGACCATGCAGACCCCTGGTGGAGGGCAGGAAGCTGGGGTCTGGGACCCAGCCGGGACGTGGAGATGGGGCCTGTGAGGGAGCAGATGAAGTGTGGGTGGCCCTGGGACCCTGGGCAAGTCCCCAAGGAACTTCCAGGATCCCATATAAGCCCCTGAGCCAGCTAAGAAGTGAAGGGGGGCCTTAGGGAAGGAAGGAGAACCCAAGGAAGCAGGAGGAGCCTCCAAGAGGCCTGGCCCCTCAAACCTGCTCCTGTTGGGGAAGCTCAGGCGTGGATGGGTGAAAAGCAGACGGACCCACCTGGGGGGAGGGGGCAGCAGACAGAGCAGCCAGGCGGGCAGCAGAGCAGGGACACGCACACACGGCTCACCACCAGCACCCCCTTTAATAAAACATGGGGGGTCGTGTGACAGGAAGAAGGGGGTGAAATAGGACCATTTACAACCACAGAAAAACCTCTGTACATGTCTAGCGCCTGGCAGAGGGGGGCAGCAGGGCAGCAGCGGGCCGGGGCCAGCCCTATTTGTAGAGGATATCGTAGTGTCCAGGCCGGTAGAGAAGGTAGACCTTGGGCTCGGAGCCCTCAGGGAAGATGTGCGGGTTGGTGGTGCCGCCCTCGCCGCGGTCCATGTACTCCACCTGGATAGACACGCTGAGGGCCTGGGCCAGCGCGATGATGTGGATGTGGTCGCTCTCCTTGCACATGGGTTCCACCTCCTGTGGCACAGGTGCGGGTCAGGCCCCGGTCTCCGCACCCCGCCCCAGGCCCTGTGGACCCACTGCACTCCCCAGGCCAAGAGAAAAGGGGAGGGGGATGGCACCTGCTGGCAGAACTCCTTGACAGTCCGCCCACCCTCGATGAAGTGCTCGAAGAACTTGCTCTCGCGCTGCAGGTAGCCTGAGGTGAGCAGCCGCAGGTAGACCACAAGGTAGTCGGAGGTGCTCTGGTCATTGAAGGAGGCCAGCAGGTCGGCGACAGAGGTCTGCTTCTCTACCTGCTCGATCAGGTCCATGAACTGCAGCCACGAAGGGAGAAAGGGCAAGATGAGGGGGAGGAGATGGGTGGTCCTCACCAGGGGAACCCCTCCACCCTGGCCCAGCCCAAGACAAGTGCCAGGGCTCACCGTGTTGTGGAAATCCTCAATTGTGAATTCAGTGAAGCCCTGGGACACCAGGTCCTCCTTGCTCTTGGCAGACACAGCCTTAAACCTGGGGGTGGGAGGGAAAGGCGGGCCCAGCATGGGCTCCTCGACCAGCCCAGACACCAGGGCCCAGACAGTACCGCCCCGCCTGGCAAGGCCAGTGTCCAGCCCATCGCCTGCCCTCAAGTGGAGCTGTACCTCCTACTCGCCCAGGGAGGAGGGAGACACCCATCTGCCTCAGTGCCCAGTGCCCACCCTTCTCACCGCTGCAACTCCTTGCTGTCATCCAGCAGCGCCTCCAAGTGGGAGAATCCGAAAGCCCGATAGAAACAGTTGCCGTCAGGCCTGGTCTTGCGGATGTACGAGTACTTTTTGTGGAGGTCCTGCAGAGACAGCCCCACCCTGACAGGTTAACATCAGGCCAGAACTGGGGCTGGCCCAGGAAATGTCCCCCAGCAAAGGTCACACTACAAAAGATGGCGACTGAGTTCCCAGCAGCCACCTGCCACCCTGGGCCCCTGAAACAGGCTGCTGAACATGGTAATGGGAGCAGCCCACTGCCCAGAGTCCTCCCAAAAAGCAGCAGGAAGCTGGGCACTTAAGGACAAACTAGCTGCATGGGTCACTAAAGTGCTGCGGGGCCTGTACAGCAATCGGTGAGTGAATCTGTCCTTCACCAATGCGTCTTCTCCAGTCTTTCAGCCCAAGAGAACTTTAGTGCAAGCAAGTCAGGGCCAGGGTGGAGTGCTGGGCTCCACGCCTCTGCCAGGTGGCTGGGGCCCTCTGCACAGCCCACCTCAGCCCCGCTCCCGCCACGCCGTGAATTCCCCCACCTCCAGGCCTTGCCCACAGCCCTCCTGGGGCTAGAAACAGCCTCCCTCCTCTACTTGTTTTTTTGAAACGGAGTTTTGCTCTTGTTGCCCAGGCTGGAGCGCAGTGGCACAATCTTAGCTCACTGCAACCTCCACCTCCCGGGTTCAAACGATTCTCCTGCCTCAGCCTTCCAAGTAGCTGGGATTACAGGTGCCCACCCACCACGCACACTTCACCTGGCAAGCACACTTCACTCCCCTGGCCTGGGGGCCCTGCCCATCTTGCTCCCACCCCCAGCTGATGACCTTGTCTTTTTTCCTCAGCCCCCACCAGCACATCTGCCCTTGGCCTCCTCCCACAATCCTCAGAGGATCTGTTCCAGCTGCCACCTAAGCCGCCTCTCCACTCCACACTAGCCCACCCCCACCCTCAGGCTCAAGCACATCATTCCAAGCTGGGTGCCATGGCTCACGCCTATAATCCCAACACTTTGGGAGGCCAAGGTGGGAGGACTGCTTAAGCCCAGGAGTTCGAGACCAGCCTGGGCAACACAGTGAGACCCCCGTCTCTCTCTAAAAAAAAAAAAAATAAGTGGCTAGGCATGGTGGCTCACACCTGTAATCCCAGCACTTTGGGAGGCCAAGGTGGGTGGATCACCTGAGGTCGGGAGTTCGAGACCAGCCTGACCAACATGGCGAAACTCCATCTCTACTAAAAATACAAAATTAGCTGGGCATGGTGGTGCATGCCCGCAATCCCAGCTACTCGGGAGGCTGAAGCAGGAGAATCGCTTGAAACCGGGAAGCAGAGGTTGCAGTGAGCAGAGATGGCGCCATCGCACTCCAGCCTGGGCGACACAGCAAAACTCCATCTTGAAAAAATAAATAAGTTAGCTGCACATGGTGGTGCATCCTGTGGCGCCAGCTACTCGAGAGGCTGAGGTCGAGGACTGTGTGGGCCCAGGAGGTCGAGGCTGCAGTGAGCTGTGATGGCACCACTGCACTCTAGCCTGGGTGACAGAGTGAGACCCTAGCTCAAAAAAAAGAAACATCAACCCAGTAAGTCCCCCGATCATCAATTTTTCCCTCCCTACTGGTTTAGACCCAACAGCGTACACACATTCGGCTACTTCTTTAAAAGGAAGGGAATCTTGGACTTTACGTTTCTGTCTGGCTACCCTTCAATTTCTCTACTTTCTTTACAGGAAAACTCCTAATGAAGCTGTCCTTGCTGCCTCCACCTCTTTTCTCCCTTGGGAGGCTTTTGCTTTAGCCAAGGTCAGCTGAATGCCCTCAATAAGAGGGGCAAACCCAGCCCCGCACCCCCACTGGCCCCTTAGCAGAACTGAGGCCACTGGCCGTGGCCCTGCCTAGATGTCTCCTTCCCTGGGCTGGCGCCTCCACCCTCTTCTTGTCGTCCTCCTGCCTCCACTCCTCATCTCTCTAAGTTCTGAGGATCAGGGATGCCACCAAACCATACAGCACCCTTCAAGACATGGTGTGTCACGTGCAAGAAAACAGTCACTGAGGCTGGGGTAGTGGCTCACGCCTATAATCCCAGCACTTTGGAAGGCTGAGGCAGGCAGATATCAAGGTCAAGAGATCGAGACCATCCTGGCCAACATGGTGAAACCCCGTCTCTACTCAAAATACAAAAATTAGCTGGGCATGGTGGCACATGCCTGTAGTCCTAGCTACCTGGGAGGCTGAGGCAGGAGAATCACTTGCAAGTGTCGCCTGGTGACAGAGCGAAACTCCGTTCCGAAAAAGAAAAAAGGGAAACAGTCACTGCACACTTAGCCACTGTGCCTGCCATGTGACCACAGGCGTGAGGGCTGTCTCCCGTGTGCCTGCCCCACCCTGCTCAGGCCTGGGACAGCTTCCACTTTTCTTTTTTCCTGGGCTGGAGTGCAGTGGCAAGATCACGGCTCACTGCAGCATCAACTTACCAGGCTCAAGCGATTCTCCCACCTCAGATTTCAGAGTAGCTGGAACTACAGGTGTGCAACACCGCGCCCATTAATTGTTGTATTTTTTGTAGAGACAGGATTTCGCCATATTGCCCAGGCTGGTCTCAAACTCCTGGGCTCAAGTAATATGCCTGCCGCAGCCTCCCAAAGTGCTGCACCCGGCCAGCTTCCTCTTTTAAACTACACTCACTCCCATGGCCAGGTACAGTGGCTCACACCTGTAATCCCAGTTTTGGGAGGCCAAGGTGGGAGGATCAAGTTGAAGGCCAGCCTGGGCAACACAACAAGACCTCGTCTCTACAAAAACTTAAATTATACTTGCTCTCTTAACGACGTCAGTCTCAAGCAATTTTTTTTTTTTTTTTTTTGAGACAGTTTCGCTCTGTTGTCCAGGCTGGAGTGCAGTAGCGCGATCTCGGTTGACTGCAACCTCCGCCTCCTGGGTTCAAGCAATTCTCCTGCCTCAGCCTCCAGAGTAGCTGGGATTACAGGCATGCGCCACTATACCCGGCTAATTTTTTTGTATTTTTAGTAGAGATGGGGTTTCACCATGTTGGCCAGGCTGGTTTTGAACTCCTGACCTCACTCCCTAGCCAAAGTCTTCTCAAGGATTTAAATAGCCCCACGTGTGAATCTCAACTCGCAACTCCAATTGCGATCCCCATAATTACCAGCCTCAGCACACCTCTTCTGAACTGTCCAACAGGTATTTCCACTGAGTGCAGCTGAGATCAACCTCTGAACAACTGCTCCTCCCCAAGGCTGCCCCACCTCAGTCACCCACAGCACCCAAAGTCTTGAAGTCACTGCGGACTCCATCACCATATCCATTCCTTCAATGTCTGGTATCCAACTGCTTCCCACTCTTCACCTCCACCACCCGCTGCCCACTTCCAGCAGATTTTACTGCACAAGCCTCCTGGCAGTGTCCCTGCCTCCACCTCACCCTCTGAAGTCTATTCTCACCCCAGCATGAGAATGGCCAGGGTCGGCTTAGCGTGATGGCTCAGGCCTGTAATCCCAGCACTTTGGGAAGCCAAAGTGGGTGGATCATTTGAGGTCAGGAGTTCAAGACCAGCCTAGCCAATATGGTGAAACCCCGCCTCTACTAAAAATACAAAAATTAGCCGGGCATGGTGGTAGGCATCTGTAATCCCAACTACTCAGGAGGCTGAGGCAGGAGAATCGCTTGAACCCGGGAGGTGGAGATTGCATTGAGCCGAGATGGTGCCATTGCACTCCAACCTGGGTGACAGGGCAACACTCTGTCTCAAAAAAACAAAGTGACCAGAGTCACCTGCTAGATGCACCCCATCTCCCTCAGAGTCCTTTCTCTTGCCACAACACCCCCCCTCCCCGCCCTGCTCAGTTCCCCAGCCCCAACCCCTCGTTCTGCACCAGCCACACTGGCCTCCATGCTGGTCTCAAACCATCCAGGTGCCCTCTTGCCTCGGGCCTAGGCGGGCACTGCTCTCGGACGCCTGGGACTCGCTCCCCGGCCTTTTTCTGTTCATTACTCAAATACCACCTCATCAGCAAGGCCTTCACCAAGCCCTGTTTAAAATGGCAAATGCTCCCACTCCCAATCCCTTTTTTTTTTTGAGGAGTTTTGCTCTGTTCACTTTAGACTGGAGTGCAGTGGTAAAATCTCGGCTCATTGCAACCTCTACCTCCCAGGTTCAAGGGATTCTCCTGCCTCAGCCTAAGCAGCTGGGATTACAGGAATGCACCACCACACCTGGCTAATTTTGTAATTTTAGTAGAGACGAGGTTTCACCATGTTGGTCAGGCTGGTCTTGAACTCCTGACCTCAGGTGATCCACCTGCCTCAGCCTCCCAGAGTGCTGGGATTACAGGCATGAGCCACCGTGCCCAGCCCCAATCCCCATTTCCTTTTTATTTTTCTCCATAGCACTCACCGCCTTCTGATACCCCACATGTCCTAGAGCCCTCTTTGGCTTATCATGTCTTTCCACCCTGAACTGTAAGCTTTGTGAGGGCAGGACTTTTTCGGTTTAGTCATCGCTCTATCTTCAGTACTTAAAACAGCACGTGGACCACAGTCCGTGCTCAATACATGTTAAATGAGTAGCACACCAGGACCACAAAGAGCCCAAATCATCGCTGCTACTGTAACAGCCACCATGGCCATTGTGAGCACACGCTCTGTGCCAGGCACTTGGCACAGGGCGAATAAACATCCTAATTGATCCTCACAAGAGCCCATTTATAGAGAGGGGAGCTCTCTGTAACCAGGCCTACTTGGGCTCTGCTGCCACAGCTGTCTCTGCCCAGGGAGAAAAGGTGGGCTCAGGCACAGCACAGAATGCGGGTGCTGGAGGACAGAGAGAGGCCTCTTAGACAGCATGCTCTGGACATCCAAATGTTTGATGACTCTGTGGGAAGAACCTGGGGCCCAGCCTGCCCACTTTACCAGGGTGGTCTAGCACAACCGGCAGGCCTTGGCATGGGTGTCCCACTGGAGGACAGTGACATAAGAGGAATGAATGAATGAAGCTCACCCCCTGTATGGGGAGAGGAGGGGATTTGCCACCCGCTGCTTACAACCCGTGGTAACATCTCCTTCAACCCTCACACTTGCCCGGTGAGGAAGACAATGTCCCTGCCCAGAGAGAAGAGAACAGGGGATCCAAGAGCTTCAGGGTGTTGCCCGAGATCACACAGCTCAAAGTGGTGAGGCCAGGACTGGAACCCAGGCCCATGGGCTCCAAAGCCAGTGCCTTCATCTCTCCACAGGCACCCTGAGGAAATCCAGTTCCCTAAGGAGGGGGTCTCAGTAGATCACAGAGCACAGACCTCACACAGCTGGATCTGGCCTGCAAGTGTGTTTGGCCCACACATTTAAAATTTGAATTAGCTGCCAACTGTTAGATGTCAGGAGCTGTGGTTACCTCTGGCTTCTCTAGGAAAAACAGATCTGGAGACAATGGTGTTACAGGTATGGACACTCCCATTTCCCCCAGGGGCCTCTGCTCTCTATTATTGTGTGGCTGATACTGAGCTGTGCTGCCCTCCTTGTTCACCACCTGACTTCCTGGCCACCTTCAATCCTGGGTTACCTACCTGGCCACGGAGGCCTCCCCTACAGGTAGAGGATTCTAAGCATCTGTGATCTTTCACGGGAAGAGAAACACTTACTAAACACCTACATTGAGCCTACCAGATACTATTTCCACACACCCATTGTCACATTTCTTTTTTTTTTTTTTTTTTTTTAAAGAGACAAGTCTCACTGTCACCCAGGCTGGAGTGCAGTGGTACAATCGTGGCTCAACTTCTTGGGCTCAAGTGATCCTCCAACCTCAGCCTCTTGAGTAGCTGGGACTACAGGCATGTGCTACCATGCCCAGTAATTTTTTGATTTGGAGAGACAAGGTCTCACTATGTTGCCTGGGCTGGTCTTGAACTCCTAGGTTCAAGCGATCCTCTGGCCTCAGCCTCCCAAAGTGCTAGGATTCCAGACTCAAGCCACCATGCCTGGCCCCACTTCACATGTCAACCTCCCAGCTCACAGACCTGGAAAGTGGGTGGTGAAGTTTGCCTCCGTTTGAATGATGCAGCAGGGCCCTTCTGGGAAATCTGTGGCTCCTTGGCCCCACTGCTGCCTGCCTCTCCACAAAGATCCAGGAGGCAGGCTATGGGAAACAGCCTTCCGGCAACCATTCTGCCCCCCTGAGCACCAGCCTGTTCAGCCCCCGTATAGGCACCGAGATCATCAGCTTCTGCCCAGCCTGCACCTCCGGCAATCTCACAATCACCCTATGGGAAGATGCTTTTTTTTTTTTTTTTTTGAGATGGAGTCTTACTCTGTCACTCAGGCTGAAGTACAGTACGGGATCTCTGCTCACTGCAACCTCCGCCTCCCAGGTGCAAGCAATTCTCCTGCCTCAGTCTTTCCAATAGCTGGAACTATAGGCGCTCACCACCACTCCCAGCTAATTTTTGTATTTTTAGTATAGATGGGGTTTTGCCATGTTGACCAGGCTGGTCTCGAACTCCTGACCTCAGGTGATCTGCCCACCTCAACCTCCCAAAGTGCTGGGATTACAGGCATGAGTCACCGTACCCGGCCAGAAGATGCTTTTATTGTCCCTGTTTTATAGATGAGAACACTCATTTTAAAGACACTAAAGGACGTGCCAAGGATACAGCTGTTGAGTAGCAGAGTCTAGATTTGAATCAATGTCTTTTTTGGTTTTTTTGTTTTTTTGAGACAGTCTTCTTCTGTTGCCCAGGCTGGAGTGCAGTGCTGCAATCTTGGCTCACTGCAGCCTCCGCCTCCCAGATTCAAGCAATTCTCTGCCTCAGCCCCGCGAGTAGCTGGGATTACAGGCACCCACCACCACGCCCGGCTAATTTTTGTATTTCTAGTAGAGATGGGGTTTCACCACGTCGGCCAGGCTGGTCTCCAACTCCTGACCTCAGAGGATCGGCACCTCCGGCTCTACAGGCCTCGGATCCGTGTCGGAGCCCGTCCACGCCGTTTTTTTTTTTTTTCCTGAGATGAAGTTTTGCTCTTGTTGCCCAGGCTGGAGTGCAATGGTGCGATCTTGCTCCCTGTAATTCCACCTACTGGGTTCAAGCCATTGGAATCAATGTGTTTTTGAGGCCCCAGCCTGCGCACTTCAAGACCACAAGCCGGGCGCCGGTGGCTCACACCTGTATCCCCACCACTTTGGGAGGCCGAGGCGGGCGGATCACAAGGTCAGGAGATCGAGACCTATCCTGGTTAACACCGTGAAACCCCGTCTTCTACTAAAAAATACAAAAAATTACTGGGTGGTGGAGGGCGCCTGTAGTCCCATCAACTCAGGAGGCTGAGGCAGGAGAATGACATGAACCCTGGAGACAGAGCTTGCAGTGAGCTGAGATCATGCCACTGCATTCCAGCCTGGGCGACAGAGCAAGACCCGTCTCAAAAAAAAAAAAAAAAAAAAAAAAGAACCAGTAACGAGAGGTGTCTCCAACACCCCATTCCTCAGGTGACAGACCCAGCAGGAAGCAAGTCTGAAGCAGGCACCCTCCTGCCCATCCCCCAGGGTGCTTCCCACCCACTCTGGCCAGGCTCCCACCTTGATCTTCTTGTTGATAGATGTTGTCATCTTCAGCATACTCCTTGTATAGGACCGAGAGCTCCAGCCGCTCTGACACCAGAGGTTCTGCACAGCAATCTGGAGGAGGCAGGGATCCGTCATGTCCCAGCAGGGAGATGGAGTGACCCATGCCTAACAGTCAGAATAACTACAAAAGGGCTGGGCTGGTCACGCAGTGACACAGCAACCCCCAGAAAAGCACCAGTACCTACATGGCCTAGGGAGGAGGGAGCTTCCAAAGTAGAGACATGACAACAGGCCTCAAGCCCAGCCTATGCATTTCCACAATGGGGCGCTGGCCACTGCCCCCTTGCCCACTGCAGCCCCTCACCTCTTGCTGAATTCGGTCCTGCTGAGCCATGATGGCTTCATCATAGGCCAGACAGTTAACACCTGGAAAAGGAAAAAGCCAAAGATTACAGGAGGTCCTGGCCGTCTCCACTGCAGGCAGCTGGGCCAGGGACAACAGCAGCCCAGGGGCAGGACGACAGGCTTAGAATCTGGAAACAGGCGTGTTACATTCTGCTCCACTCCACTGTGTCATCTTGGCAAACTCCCTTCCCCTTCTGGGCTTTCACATTTCCTCATCTTTAAAATGAAGGGGCAGAGGTGCACTGTGGTACCCCTAAACGTGCACTCTTCCAGCTCTGACACCCCCTTCCTCCCGTTAACGTCACTTCCCAGCAGCCTAGGAATGTTCTGGGGCCAGGCGTGGTCTCTTTTTTTTTTTTTTTCTTGAGACGGAGTCTTGCTCTGTCGCCCAGGCTGGAGTGCAGTGGTGCGATCTCACAGCTCACTGCAAGCTCCGCCTCCCGGGTTCACTGCCATTCTCCTGCCTCAGCTTCCCGAGTAGCTGGGACTATAGGCGCCCACCACCTCGCCCGGCTAATTTTCTTGTACTTTTAGTAGAGACGGGGTTTTCACTGTGTTAGCCAGGATGGTCTCGATCTCCTGACCTCGTGATCCGCCCGTCTCGGCCTCCCAAAGTGCTGGGATTACAGGCTTGAGCCACCGCGCCCGGCCTAGGCGTGGTCTCTTGCAGAAAGTAGGATGAGGAGGCAGAGTCCTGGGCTGGAGGAGAGCTTCCTGTGAGCCTGCACTTTACTCCATCACCGCCTTCATCCTCTTGCGGTGGTGGATATTGTTAATGGTGCCCATTTTACAATTAACAGAATAAATGCAGAGAGGTGAAGCAATCTGCCCAAGGTCACAACTAGCAAAGACCTGTGGTCAAACCCAGGTTTGTCTAATTCCAGGTTGAGCTCTTCAGCACAATAACTATCCTTGGCTACCACATGGCTGACACCTTTCCTCAACTGTAAAATGGGGCGAGTACCCCCGCCTTTCTTAGAGGCATACCAGCACATGCTCTAGGATTATCAGTCAGCTGGGCAGCTCCACCCTGTCGACCCCACTGTGAGCAGCTATCGGTGAGTAGCCAGGACACCTGAATTTGAGTCCTGGCTCTCTCTCAATGTCATCGTGAACAAGTCCCTTCCGGGGCCTAGTTTTCCCACTTCTCATTCCCACAAGTGTTCGGTGAGAGTGAGGTGTGTGTGCTGAATGACTTTTAAGGTCAACCCTTTTGGGGCTCGCAATCCCAAATTCTTGGCTGGGCGTCGACCTCCCCTTTTCGTACTGCTTTGCAAAAGAGCTGTCCCTGCCACCCAATGACCTACGCGGTCCCCAGGGCCCAACTCACAGGCGGGAAAAGACAGTGGGACCATTTTTGAAAGGCCCATCTCCTCAGGAGACTAACAATGCCTAGGCAGGTGGAAAGGGGCTGCAAGGCCAGAAGAGGCGGCTCTACCAGAAGAAGTCGCAGGCCTCAGGGACAGATCCCGCAGCCCCTCACATCCCAGGGCCGCCTGCGACATCCCGAACGGCCCGCCCGGACGTTTGTGCTCTGTAGCCCAGCAAAACTTGAGGCCCTCAAGGCGCGGGTCGCCGCTGGAGCAGGTCGGGGGGCTCGGCCCTGGCCTAGGCCTCAGCCTGACTGCGAGGACCGGGGCGGGAGGGCTCGGGGCCCCTGGAGCCGGGAGCCCAGGGGCCGGGCAGAGGGCGGGGCGGCCCAGGCCCCGCCCCGGGCGCGCACGATGGAGAAGGGCCGCCGGCCTTGGCCCGCCTCGCCCGTCCTCCCTCCCGGCCGGGGGTCGCTGCGGTAGCTCCTTCCATTGTGAGGGGGAGGGGAGGCAGCGGAGGTGGAGGAAGGGACCCCCCGCGCACCTCGACCCCAGGGCCGGCGGCCCTGCCTCCCCTCCCTCCTCGGGAGCAGCTGGCCCGGCATCGCCCCCACTAGCCTGGGCCGGACATCCCTCCTTGGAGCTGTACCTTCGGAGTCGCTGCCCAGCGGCTCCTGCTTCTGCTGCTGAGGTTCCTCCGCCGCCATCTTTAAACAGCGCCGCACTGCCGACCGCTTCCGGGTTGCCAATTGCCCTCCTCCCGGAAGTGAGCCCCTCCTCGTGGCCCCGCCTTGGCAACGGCCCTAGCAACGGGATCCCCTTAGGCGTTGTCAAGGAATCGGCTTCCACTCCCGTGGCAGGTGCTAGCACGCCAGGCGCACCGACCTGAGACCTGTAGGAGAGGCCGGCCGCCCCGGGTCCGCATCTCCACCCCACACAGTGGTTTGGCTCCATCTTCCCAGCCTCCCAAAGTTCCCGGTGGTGATTGCAGAGCCTCCTGGAGCCAATTCCGTTTTCTTTTCCCTGGAGTTTGAAACGCGGATCGTGTTATTGAGAGAAGTAGGAAGGTGAAATTAAAATCACCAATGGCAGCATTCCTGCTGCGGGCTTCGGCACGCACTGCATGCGACCACTGCTGCAGTGCGGAGCAGCATCTGGCCCAGGAGACAGGAAGTCGGCCAACGCCAGGGCGCCCGCGGAGCCCCACATCAGTGGCCCCGCGGAGCCTGGGTTCTCTGCCGGCTTTGGTGAGCTGCTTCCGGCAGGGAGACGGCGTCCCTTGGTGTCAAGGCCAAAGCCTCAGGACCTAACTTTGGGCTCTGTGTCCTTCTGGTTGTGACAAAGCAGGGCCTTTAAAAAAAAAAAAAAGAAAGAAAGAAAGAAATAAGGAAGAAAAGAAAGGGTCTCACTATGTTGCATAGGGTAGTCTCGAACTCCTGGGCACAAGTGATCTTCGGGCCCTGCCTGAAGAGTAGCTGAGATTCCAGCCACGAGCCACCACTAAAGCAGGGTTTTTATAAAAGCAAAGACTTCACAAAAGAGAAAAATAATGGTTGCCAAGAGTCAAGCAGAGGTGCTGGAGGGAAGTGGATGTGGCTGTGAAAGGGAAAGTCTGGATTCTTGCGAAGGTGGAAATGCGCAATACCCTGACTGTGTCAGTAGTCTGGTGTAGGCTTTACTACATTTTTGCAAGATGTTAGTGGGGGCAGGGGAGACTGAGTAAAGGATACATGGAATCTTTATAATTTATTTAAGTTCCCTGTGAATTATCTAAAAATTACGTTTAATTTTTTTTTGTTTGTTTGGGTTTTTTTTTTTAGAGAGTCTTGCTGTCGCCCAGGCTTTAGTGCAGTGTGACGATCTCGGCTCACTGCAACCTCCACCTCCCAAGTTCAAGCAGTTCTCCTGCCTCAGCCTCTAGAGTAGCTGGGACCCACGCCCGGCTAATTTTTTGAATTTTTAGTAGAGACGGGGTTTCACCATGTTGGCCAGGCTGGTCTCAATCTCCTGACCTCGCAATCCGCCCACCTTGGTCTCCCAAAGTTTTGGGATTACAGGCATGAGCCACCACGCCCAGCCACATTTAATTTCTCAAATGGCAAAGATGGCTGGGTCTGGTGGGTTATGCCTGTAATCCCAGCATTTTGGGAGGCCAAGTTGGGAGAATTGCTTGAGCCCAGGAGTTGGAGACCAGCCTGGGCAACACAGGGAGACCCACCCCTGCATCTCTACAAAAAATTATACAAAAAACTAGCCGGGCGAGGTGGCAGACGCCTGTAATCCCAGCTGCTGGGAAGGCTGAGGCAGGAGAATGGCGTATCCTTTAGCACTTAAGGAGGCTGCCTCAGTCCATCCCAAACAGCCTCATCCGGTCCTGCAAGGACAGGAGTGGAGTATGACCAAACGGTTTCACTAGTTGGCGCCAGTCCTGGAGTGGATGCAGTTGGTACCTGGGTTCACCAAACTCAGCCCACCCTGACCTTCTCACAGCAAGGTTTCTCACACAAGCAAGATGTAAAATGCCACATCTTACACATTACGCAGCAACATCACACATTACTATTTATTGGGTCATTAGATCTTTGGGGTTGCTTCCAAACTCAAGAAAACAAAAGGTCCCTCCATGTGGACCCCATGGCTATCAAACCGTTCATTCCTTTTCCCTTTTCGAACCATGAAATCCATAACCGCCAGTCAGACCCGCAACCAGCAGGAGAGAAATGGTACCAAATGAAGGGCAAATATTTTGATAACAAAGATATTTATTTCTATTTGCCTTTTTAAAATCTTCAAAATAGCTCTATCCCTTCCCCCCTTACCTGGACTAGGGGGTCCATGCAGTGGAGCTGGGATTGGGACTAACGACAGGACAGGGAACAGCTGCTCTGGAGAGTGGAAGGGACGCCCTGTGGTGGCTCAGTGCTGGCCC